ATAATGTAAAAAGCATTAGGAATTTTCCGAATCTATTTTTTGCATCCCTCTCATTAATGATAATGGTCTCTAAGCAGAGTATGGGTACGGAACTATGAGACATTGTGCTGTGGTAAAAACTGTGAAAGTTACAGGGTTATTTTTCCTAATAAATGCCTCCCAGAAGGCCAAAGCTGATAAGTCGGAGTTCTGTTATTATTTTTGGAAATTGCCAGCAATCAGTCTTTGTTATAGTAGCTCTAGAAGATATTTTTGGCTTACACTTCTGGATATCTTAGCCAATTTTGGTAACTTTGTGACTAAATTATTACTACATTTGACCTTAAGCTGGTAGAACAAGCATTAACACCTTTAGTTATTCTGAGACTTGTATTAATGCTGTTGTTATTGTTGAATGCTGTTAGGTCAGAACGCACCCACAGCTGACCCTCCAGCAGGTTTTCAGAGGCAGTTAATTACGTGGGAGATGACTGTCCATCCGTCTTCCACAGAACTGCTGGCGGATTTGAACTGCTTGCCTTTGGGATTGCAGCACATCTTTTTACCACTAGGCCACCAGAGCTGATACTGCTTTATATTATATGACCTAAGCTTTAGCTCACTTGGCTCCACAATCAACACTCTTAGCACCCGCAGCCAGGAAATGAAAAGATGTATTACGCTGGGAAAGTCTGCTGTCAGTGACCTCTCCAAAGAACTAAAAAGAAATAATGTCAGTCTGGAGACAAAGGTCCACCTGATACAGGCCATGGTCTTTGCAATCACTTGCTATGCATCAGAAAGCTGAACAATGACTAGGGATGATGGAAGGAGAGTTGATGCCTTTGAAACGTGTTGTTGAAGAGTATTGAATGTACCTTGGACTGCTAGGAGAACAAACAGGTTCATCCTAGAGAGGGTTAAACCAGGCTGCTCCTTGGAGGCAAGAATTCTGCAGCTTCATTTGACATACTTTGGACATGTTGCCAGGAGGGACCAGTCCTTGGAGAGGGACATCATGCTTGGGAGGGTGGAGGGACAGCACAGGAGAGGAAGACCCTCTATGAGGTGGATTGATTCAGTGACTGGGGTAATGAGGGTAAGTGTGTTGGAGACAGTGAGATTGACACAGAATAGAGCAGGGTTTAGGCGTGTTTTACAGAGGGTTGCTATGAGTTAGTTGCAGGCAATTCAGCACCTAACAACAACAAGAACAATGGAATGAGTGCAATTAGATTGTGCCTCTTCTATATTCTGTCTGAAGAACAATACCTTGTTTTCCAAATCCGTGGCTAACCTGAAGGGAGGTGTGAAAGGGTTTTGGATTTAAGGCTGTTGTTCCCAGCAGCACTTAGCTTTTCCTTGACAGTGACGAGCCATCAAATTGATTTTCAATGCTAGCAAACCATGTGACAGAAGAGAATCATCCCACAGGGTTCATTCTACCCACCACACACAGCAAAAGTTAACGGAACCAAAACGTGAAAAGAACTGCCAACCAACATTCCCCAGGATAAGTGCTCAAGGAATATTTAAGTGTTCAAGGATGGATATTTAATTGTTGATGTCCATTATGTGAATTTTGACTCATAAATGAGCCCATATATCAATGTAGAAACGGCCCTGTCGGACTAGCCAGGTTATAATCTTCCTGGGAGCAGATTTTCAGGTCTCTTCTCCTGTGGAGCCCCTGGGTGAGTTCAAGGTTTTCAGCTGGCAACCGAGAGCTTAGCCATTGCTCTAGCAAAGCTACTTGGATGATGGTGGCATGCATTTCATTGTCCTAAAATTCAAAGCAAAGTATAGATTTGAAAATTGTGAGCCCAAGGACTGGATGGAGTGAAGGGGTCTTGTGTCTTGGGCCCTTGTACTGGTATGAATGGAAACTGCAGCTGGTGATGTGTTTCTCCGCTTAACGCCCCCACGTGACATCAGTTCACTTACACATATTTGGAAGAGCTTTTCTATGCAGTATTTCTCAGAGAGCGTTCACAGCAACACAGAACAAACACATACTTGAAGAGAGTGAACCACACGGGTGCTAAAAAATGACCTTCCTCCATAAGGTCAAATAATTTTATTTTAATTAAGCACTACAATACAGTATATATCCATTAAAAAAAGAAAACTCTATAGTGTATATAAATTAGTCTTTCCATTCATCAACTCTTCTTTTCCTGTTACAGCTTTGGTACATTGTGATTTCGGTATAGAATTTTTTTTTCTTTTAAATACTTTTAGCATCACAAACTCAACACAAAGTACAAAACTAATCCAAATTAGGGATCTTGTAGTCTACACAGTGGTATTCCGTGGTAGGAAAAAATCTTACCTTGATGAATTCATGTCACTAGCTAAGCTAGAAAGGCATACCTAGCAGACATGACAGAAATATGCACCATTAACCAGCTAACGTGTGGAGTAGTCTTTGTTTATTTTTACAGAATACCAGCAGCAACCATTTGATTGTTAAGAGAATACTTGAGTTCTCAGCCAGCTTTCTCGTGTGGCTCCTCTTCCCTTGAAGGCCGTGATCCACGTCCAGAGGAACGCACGGCAGCCGGAGCTCTCAGAATTTGACCTGCCACGCGGGACTGCTCACACTCACACAGTTTGTCCTGCAGCTGGCTGACATCACGGGGACCGTGCTGGAGGGGCAGTTGGGGCCATTCAGCCGCAGGCTGTTCTGGGGGCTTGGCGGGGTGATGTTACAGTACACGGGCATTCCCGAGGCTGGGAGCGAGCCTTGCCCTGCCTGGGTAGGTAGCATGATTGGCTGTTGGTATGACTGCTGGGACAGCCCTTGAGAACCCTGGGTCATTGGCACCTGCAGGAGAGTAGAAGAGAGAAGGCTGAATGAAGAGGCCAGGTCAAGTGTTACCAGGACCCAAGTATTGCTAAGAACAACTGCAGGCTTTCAAGTGAGATCTACCGATCGTCCCCCATGCCGTCTATCAACAGCTTCACACCGGAAGTCCCTTTACCTCTCTCATCGCCTCACTGCTTTGGATAATGCTAAGTATTACTCAACTCAAACTCGACTTACTGCCTTCAAGAGGGAGCCACCTCGTAGCTGACCCATCAGGCGATGAGTCTCCTGCCAGGAGATGGCCTATTTTTTTCTCTCCCAAGGAGCAGCTGGTGGATTCAAATCACCTGCCTTTGGGTTGATAGTGCAACTCCTTACTCACAGTACCATTAAAAGGATGGTGGAGATATGCCAGGTGCCAGGTTCGATGCCTGGGCTGCAGAAGCTCTTCGAAAGGTGTTAGCTACCTTCCGCCCTGTCTCTCTATGCCCTCCAGGGTCTACAGTCTGGATGTCCCTGTCTGTTTTTCTCTCAGTTTAGCAAGTCCTGATTTCATTCTGCTTTTATGCAAACAAATAGGCCTGTAGCCTTTCCTAGGAACAAGCTCTTTTCTCCCAGGTTTCCAGCAACATCCATTTTCATCTGTGACTTTATCATACACCTAATTTGGAGATTGAGATAGAAACTGATAAAATGTGAATAAGGATAGAATAGGGTCTAATAAAGCCTAGGACAGATTTGTTAAGGCCAGAAGTATCTGGCACAACTAAACTGAATTTAGTTTTAGTGACAAAAAGCATTTCAATACTTCTTCCACTTCTAGGATGAAAAATAATCACCAAATGGTACCTAACACTTTCTAAACACTCACTTTCAGTTCTGTGTGGAAAATGCTGTTGTTTGGCCCCATAAAGGCTCTTTAAAAGAAATCTGAGATGCCACTTAAACTATGTTAGAGCTGAAAATGATGGAGAAAATGTACCCTTGAACTAGAATTTCTCATGAATGCTCTTTATCAACCAGAAAAATATCACCAGAATATCCCAAGGTCTTCATGGGTAGAGGATCAGAGTAAAGAAATATCTTCCACTAATAAAACGTACATACGGAAAGAACTTAGCCGGGCAGTTAAAGGTCACAGGAGCCATAGAGGCAAACTTCTCCCATCTTCTAGAATAATCTTGATTTAAAGCCAACCCCCCATAGTGGCTACACTGAGCCCTCACTCCCCAGCCCTGCAGACAAACCCATACGCTCAACTTTGGCAAACACTGCTTTCCAACCCACCACTCTCCCAGCACCTGATAAGAAGACATGGTTGGGTAGGGCACCATGACGCTTTGCACCGGAGTTCCTTGTTGGTTGCTCATCACGCTCTGGCTCTGAGGTGGCGGCTGCACTCCCAGGAGGCCTTGGAACCCCTGCTGACCTGACAAAACTGCCTGGTAGCCTGGGAAGAAGAAAAAGGACCCTCTGAACTGGCTGTGCCAGGACAACCTAAATGATGCCATGTGGCGCTAAGAGCACTAGTTCCTTCAGCCATCATCACCTTGGTGTCAGGGATCGTCTATCATGTGTTTATTTCCTACTAAGGCATTTACTTTTAAGAGTAGGCAAGGAGGATCCAACAGTCCTTGACATTCCCACTGCCCTGCAGAATCATCCAGTAAGAACGTTGTGACATTGGTCAACACCCAGTCCACACTGCCAGAAACTTCTGTTGGTAGCATTTACTTGCTTTAATGTAAACTTTACTGTGTGGCCTTTGACTTGGTTTTGATTATAGTCAGAGAAGTCACAGATTACATTTATTTTTTAAAAAATCAGATGTCATTGACTAATATCCTTGGTCTCTAACCTTTCTGCATTATCCCATTTTACAAAGAGACCATCAAGCAGGTTGCTGATGTTGGGTGTTTTGTATTTTTTCTAACATCTTAATGAACAAAATGAGCTACTGTGCTGAGTGGACCACTGTCTATTGCCTGAAATGAAAAACCACAGCAAAGAAAAATTCATCTTTTCACCAAACATTCCTAAGAGACCATTATGGTAAAACACTCTAAAAAGTGACTTGGTACATCTAATAGATATTACAGAGCCCACACTTTACAAAAATAATGTTCATGTCCTTCTGTGATGGTCAGTTGGTTGGATTAATTTCCTTGACTCTTTTAAAATGTATCAGGGTTCATTTAATGGACTTATTTTTATTCTACACAGCAAGTGTTGTGAAATAGAATCTTTTTTATTCTACTAGTTTATTTACAAAATTCTAATACAAATTCGAACAAATTCTTTCAATTTCCCTCACCCCCCCATCAAATTGTACAACCCAATGATTAATTCCCCTCCACACACACACTATGCACATCCACATTCCTCTGCTTCCAGCCTCTCCCACCCCTCCTGGATCCTTATACTCATTCTACAGTAACGGTCTTATACAATATTTATCCTTGTGGGACTGAGTTAGTTCACTCAGCGTAATGCTCTCCAGTCACTCCAAAGTTAGGTAATAATTTGCAAAGTTATTACTATTGTGTGCTGCATAGTATTCCATTGTGTGAATATACCATAATTTCTCAATTTGTGGTTGGACATTTGGGCTGTTTCCATGTTCTTGTGATAATGAATAATGCTGCTATGAAGACTGGTGAACAAATCTCAGTTTGTGCTTCAGTTCTCCTATTCTCAGGGTATAAGTAGTAATATTATGAACTATTCTTGCATATCTTTAGAAGAAAATTATGATTTAGTCTACAGTGACATGGCAGTAAAGATGTGAAATAGATTTACTTAATGCTATAAAAGAATTTGCAGAGTTCATATTATTAACCACACATTGTTGTTAGGTGCTGTTCAGTAGAGGACGACTCATAGCGACCCTATGAACAGCAGGCCTGAAGCCTACTCTATCCCGTGCCATCTTCACACTTCCTGACACACAAGAGCCCATTGCAGCTGTCTCCATGTCAATCCACCTGGTTGAGGGCCTTCCTCTCCTTTGCCAACCCCCCACCCTTCCCATCATCATGTCCCTCTCCAAGGAATAGCCCCTCCCAGCAACATGCCTGAAGTATGTGAGGCGAAGCCTCATCGTTCTTGCCCCTAAAGAGCACTCCAGCTGCACCCTCTCCAAAATTTTATTTATTTGTTCTTTTGGAACGAAAACACACTTATTCCCTAAGAATAAGTGGAACTGCCTTACTACCACTCTGATAGAGAAGGATTCTTCTAAAACATAGATTTTTCCAAATGCAGATGCTGGCTAAATTTTGGAACTGAATTCACTGTGGTCAGATCAGAACTGCCACAGAGCTGGCCTTCCAGGGAGTCACAGAGCCTGTAAGTCACACTGGAAGAGACTGTCCATGTTCTGGTGGATTTGCACCATCAGAAAGGCCTCAGCCGTTGGGTCAGCAGTGCACTTGCTATGGGCTATACCACTAGTGTTCGCCAACCAGATCTTTTAAATGTCAAAAGGAAAAGAAAAACCTAATTACTGTGTATCATTAATAAATCATCTGCATTTTAAATGAATGTGAGGGGATTGCCTTGAAATGAAGAACAACATTATAAATAATCCTTATAGAAGACATTAATTTGCTTTCATTTCTGTCCATAAATCCTTATATCATGTCAGATATAGTGGAGGAAACACACAACTCCAAGTTGGTTCCTTCCAGTCTGACCTGCTGAGAACTTAGATTTCTACCCCAGACATACAGTTTAGCACAATCTCTTTACACGATTCTTATATATAATGTATGCATCTGTACTTGGGGACCTGTAAGAATCACTTGCAGATCTTATAAAACTGTAAACTCTGATTCAGCATATTTGGAGTCGAAATACAAATTCTCAGCAGGGGGAATGAACTGAGAGAGGCTTTTCAAAGACTATGAAGGAAAACCGCTTACAAACAAATAGTTATTGAGTTAGGGAACGAGCTGACTTCATGAAGCAAAACCCCCGAAAAGCTAAGGTGGGGTGAAGTTCAAGTCGGGAGGACTAGCCCGTGTTTGAAGTGGTTGTGTAGAGCAAAGGTGTAATTTAAGGTTGCCCTTTGATGAAGGAGCCCTGGTGATGCAATGTGGTGCATGTTGGCTGATAACTGAGAGGCTGGCAGTTGGCGTCCATAGCTGCTCTGGGAAGAGAAATTGCCAGTGTCTCCCCTTCGAAGACAGATGGTGGGTCACTATGAGTTGGAATCAACTTGGGGACTGTGGGTTTGGTTTTGACCTTGATGTATCCAGGTTGCATGCATGTGTATATGTGCTTTTTTTTTGTATGTGTGCTTTTTAATGTTTACATTACTCTTGTTACCCCCTTAATTGTTTTAGCTTGTTGTATTGTTGTTGCTAAGTGCCATTGAGTCTGAGTCGTAGGCAACTCATGTGATCCTAAGAACAAAAGTCCTCAACACTTTGGTGACTTTTATCCTTTCTCTAGGTTCACAGGGTTTCCGGAGGCAAGCTATTATAGAATTGGATGCCACTCCTGCTTCCAAGCTTGTTTTTAATCAGGGACCTCCACCAAACACTGTCCACCGCGGGTGACCATTATCGCATATCAGGGTCACAGTGTTTAGCTTCACAGCAACCATGAGTTACCTTTGGCCAAAAACAATTTAAACCAGGCTTGAGGGCCACAGATTAAAATCACCCACCTTTGGCTTGGTAGCATCACTTTCTATCCACCAGGTCCACAGAGCTCTCTCTATGTTGTTATTGTTAAGTCCCATTGAGTCGTAGAGACTCATAGTGACCCTATGAACTAACATTGATGAATTCTATTGCTATTGAACTATTTAAACATTAGCCCAAGCTAATTCTAATAAAATTTCTGTTTCCTGAATAGTTAAACACATAAGAAAATAGCCTGGAATGATTTTAGAAGACTTAGGACCAAGACTTACTGATTTATGAGCAAATGATGGAAGATTTCCTTACCTCTGAGTTCTCTATCAAAGGGCAGGCAATGTGGACTCTAAGTCCATGCAGTAGAATATATAATGCAGGCATGTTTCTGAATAAAGTTTGAAAGCCCATGTTTAAAATGAAAGCCATGTCTTAAAAATTGGCTCATGTTGGATCATTTGGGAAAAGGCCAGCTGGCTTCTCTGAATCTTCTACAGAATACAAACAGCTACCTTGTAAACAGGAAGAGAGCAGAGGGGCACAGAGGGAAAGAACGGAAGGGGAGGGAGCCTTGGGTCCCCAAAGATTACTGATGCATTTGCTTATTTGGGCCTCCCCCCCATCCTTTCCACAGACTCATCTTGTTCAAAAAAAGAAATTGCAGTGGCCTCCGAGAGATTCATTTATTGCACCAGCCTCCAACCAAACCTGGGAAGAAGGGAAAATAAGTCTTATGATAATAGAGCTGTTAAGACAAGCAGAGGACAAATGGCCTTGGTGGGAGGAGGACGGAAAGTCGAGGGGAAGCAAAGAGTCAGGAGGCTGGAAGACTCCATCTAATAAAGGCTAGGAGAGCGCGATCCATCTTTGCTGAGGGCCCAGGCGCAGCCGCACTGCAGGGCCTCCTTTCCCCAGCCTCCTCTTTGCTATGATTTGTGATCTTTAATATTCAGTTATGCATAGCAATGGGCTATCAGTTCTGAAGCCGGGTCCCCACTGTCAACACACTCAAGGCAAATAAGAATTGATGTGGGGAGCAAACCCTCTCAAAGTGGTAACTTCAGTGCAGAGAGACGCCCTATGTATACTCAGGAATCCCATTCATTTCTCAGTTCTCCCCCCAGGCCAGATATTCACACCTGGAATGGTTTAATTGGAGGCTAACTCATTTCTTTAAGTAAGGATATCACAGGAGGTGGCAGAATGGTCCTGAAGACGGGACTGTCAGTGTGGGAATCAGAGCTCAGGTCCAGGAACAAACACAGAAAAGAGACAGCAGTGACCCGAGAGTGACCCAGATGTGTCTGCCGTGCACACAAACACCCAAGGCGGTTTTAGCAGCACTGATGGAAGCCTGCTTATCTTGTCTATTCAAATGAGAAATGTGTTCCATTTTGTCAATTCCTAGCTGTGAAATGATCATTTGCTCATATTTATTGAGGATTAGCAAGGCAGAATGTATCTTACAAACCAAGAATCAGCAACACTTACCTGCCCTGCAGGCTTGCTGGGGAGAGGATAATGACATTAGCTATTTTTATTTCTTTTTTTAGTCAAGATTGATTGAATTTTAAAAATCACTTGTGTCATTTATTTTCTGACAGTAAGAACACATTGGGAATGGACAAATGCCTCCTAGAAAGTAAAGAACGCAGTTGGCTGGCATTGAGGCATTATAAGATTTAGAATATCTGAGTCTTATAAATCGGAAAATTAAATAGAATTTCCACTAACATGCAACAATTATTGAACAATACGTATGGTCTGAGGTCAAATTATTTATATTCAGGCAAAACAGCATTCATCT